AAGATGCTGTCTGATTCATGACTTGCTTCATAAAGCCAATTTTGGGCGGGGAAGACACCAAAATCAGGCGGTGTTACTTAAGAGTTAGGCTTCCTGTAGCAAAGCCGGGCACAAGCCCTCCTGTAGGACCGAGGGGCCCGTCCCCCCTGCCCCCCGCCCTCCCTGGACGGAGCACTGGTCACTCCCTGCTCTTCCCAGAGTGATGGATTGACATGGGAGCAGGGGCAGGATGCTGATCCGGGGAGGGAGGAGATTGAGGTCACGTGGGTGCGTCTCCAGTCCTGGGGGGCATCAAGGGTACACCCCACGGGGCTGTGGCCAGGTTCACTGTGGGCTGGCTACCTTACTTTTGGATGGTGGGTTTGCTTCTATCACTTGTGAGACCCCGGCCAGAGCACAGCCAGAGCACTGTTCCTCATGTCCAAATATTTAAGTTATCATAATCTGCCAAATTATTGTCTCTCTGCCCTGAGAAGTATACCTTCATAATACAAAACTGAGAAATGTGTTTTTATACAGATGAAAGTTAGCAAAACAAAGACAACTGAATTGATCGTTATTACAGGAGCCTGCATGTTCTATTTTGGCTTGGCGATATTTGCAGAACTTTTAAAGACACGTGGAATTCTGTATTATATATATTTGTATTGTATATTTATTGAAATTTATTTTGTATATTGAAATTTATTGAAATTTATTTTTTCTTTCAGTAAAATCGCTAAATACGTTATAATCAATATTTCCAGATAATTTATTTTCTATCAGCAGCGATGCCAAATTAGACAACATATCTTTGTCTACGAACAGAAATGTCATTGGGAAAGTCTATTAGACGACTAAATCAAGAAACACCCTTTTTAATTTTTTAATTGAAATATAACTGATGTTAGCATTGTATTAGCTTCAGGTATACAACATAATGATTTGATATTTGTATTATTGAAATGATTACCGCAATAGGTCTAGTTGACACCCATCACCAACATAGCTACAAAATTTTGTTTCTTGCCATAAGAAGTTTTAAGAGCTACTCTTAGCAGCGTTCATATATACAATACAGTATTATTAACTGTAGTCACCATGCTGTACATTATATCCCAGGACTTATTTATTTTCTAGCTGGAAGTTTGTGCCTTTTGACCCCCTTCACCCATTTTGCCCCCCTGCTCACCTCTGGCAACCACCACTCTGTTCTCCTTACCTAGGAGTTTCTTTGTTTATTTCAGATTCCATATATAAGGAAGATCATTTGGCATTTATCTTTCTCTATCTGACGTATTTCATTAAGCATGATGCCTTCAAAATCCAACCATATTGTTGGATCCACCCAAAGAAATGGCAGGATTTCTTTCTTTTTTTGGCTAATATTCCATTGTGTATATGGTGCCACACTTGGGTCCTTGGACCCAGGTATGGTAGAAATGAGGATGGACCCCAAATTTAAAGGTACAGACAAGGCTTTATTGGGGCAATAGCTGCAGGAGAAGGGAGACAAAGTCATGACTAAGGTGTCATACTGGCTCTCCAGACAATAGCCAGGGAGTTTTAAAGGGGCCGAGGTGGGAAAAAGGAATGTTGCTTAAGCAAGTAGGGGTGGGGAAGCCCAGGAAAGTGGGGGCACAGGTACATTTGACAGAACATGCTTCTTCATGCACAGGACGTTTCATTTGCATGTTAAGTCTCTACCTCTGGGCATGTTTTTTAGCATTAAGATGAGAAAAGTTGGTGAAAGGTCAATTTTGGTGACCATCCCATCTGGGATCAGTTGGAACCAGTCTGGGTTTCCTCCTTGATTCTTGCTCTGCCCTTCAGGGAAAGGGATATGAGCCCAGAGGGAGTGCCCTGGGTGTCCAGGGGCTTGTTCCAATCCTTGACTGTTTCATAAATACCGCATTTTCTTTATCCATCCATCCATTGGTGGACACTTAGGTTGCTTCCATACCTTGGCTATTATAAATAATGCTGTAGTCAGTGAATGTGGGGGTATAGATACATTTTTGAGTTAGTGTTTTCCTTTCCTTCAGATAAATATCCAGAAGTAGAATTGCTGGATCATATCAGTAATGTCTTCTTTGACTGAAGTTTGACTTTTGTCATTCTTTTAGAAAATCAACTGTATTTCCCGAGTTATTTGAAATGTTTGTTGCCTTCCTAGTGGACTGTAGGGCTTGTACTTGACCAAGGGCCCCAGCTGTTATCCTCTGACATCCCTCACAGTGAGGCCACTCTTCCCATGGGGCTGCTGCCAGCCAACAGCTGAGCACCGCAGGGATACTGAGGCTGGCCCCTTCCTGGGAGATACAGGACTCCTCTGATGGTCAACTGTGATTCAAGAACTTCTCACTGGTCTTGCCAAAATTTCCTTAGACTGCACGATGGTCTAGCATGTTTCTACCCAACCTTCCTTCCCTCGATCCTTTACTCCAGGTCAACCTTGCATCAGGTCTGAAGGCTCTCCCAGCCTTACCTGGCTTCCTCTGCATTATCTCTCATAGGTGTTTCCACTAAACATATTTGCACTTCTAATCCTATCATGACACCTGCTTCTTGTAGGACCTGAACTGACCAAGGGGCACACACACCAAATTAATGTCCATTAGATTCTCAGAATAAACCCATCAGATATATCTTGAGTAAATAAAAATAATAATAAAAGGAAGAGGTATAGAATTTTGTTTTTATGCATTGAGAAATTGTTGGGAATATATGTATTTCAACAGTGATTTTCTCCCAGCCATGGGATTCTAGGTGATTTTTATTTTCATTGTTATTTTTTTGGTACCTTTTCAAGTTTTCTACAAAAAGCACTGCATTACTTTTACAATGAGGAGAAATATTTTATTTTACAAATCAACCCCGAAAAGTCTTTATATATATAGTCGGGCTCTCCACGAGGGTGGTTCTGATGAACTGAAATGGCATCCCTCTCTTATATCTTTTCAAGGCTCGCTGGCATTCTAAATGGAGACTCCAGCACATAAAATGACAATCCTTATATGCACAGATATGATAGATGTTTCTGGCTGTGGCTCTGCCTCATCCCTTCAGCACTGCCAGGTTTCCCTCACCTGCCACCCCCGCCGCCCACATCCCAATTCTCACTGGTGGATTTATTGCCTGTGCATTAGAAAAGTTAAGAGAAGAAAAACCATAAAATACCTAGGAATAAATCTAACCAAAGAGGTGAAAAATCTATACACTGAAAGCTATAGAAAGCTTGTGAAAGAAATTGAAGAAGACAGAGAAATGGAAAAAGATTCCATGTTCTTCCAAGGAAGAACAAATATTGTTAAAATGTCGATACTACCCAAAGCAATCTACATATTCAACGCAATCTCTATCAAAGTAACACCAGCATTCTTCACAGAGCTAGAACAAATAATCCTAAAATTTGTATGGAACCAGAAAAGACCCCAAATAGCCAAAGCAATCTTGAAAAAGAAAACCAAAGCAGGAGGCATTACAATCCCAGACTTCAAGCTACACTACAAAGCTGTAATCATCAAGACAGTATGGTACTGGCACAAGAACAGACACTCAGATCAATGGAATAGAATAGAGAACCCAGAAATGGACCCACAAACAAATGGCCAACTAATCTTTGACAAAGCAGGAAAGAATATCCAATGGAAGAAAGACAGTCTCTTCAGCAAGTGGTCCTGGGAAAACTGGACAGCGACATGCAGAAGAATGAACCTGGACCACTTTCTTACACCAGACACAAAAATAAACTCAAAATGGATGAAAGACCTCAATGTAAGACAGGAAGCCATCAATATCCTTGAGGAGAAAGCAGGCAAAAACCTCTTTGATCTCGCCTGCAGCAATTTCTTACTCAACACATCTCCGGAGGCAAGGGAAACAAAAGCAAAAATGAACTACTAGGACCTCATCAAAATAAACAGCTTCTGCACAGCGAAGGAAACAATAATAAAAACTAAAAGGCAACCGACAGAATGGGAGAAGATATTTGCAAATGACATATCAGATAAAGGGTTAGTATCTAAAATCTACAAAGAACTTATCAAACTCAACACCCAAAGAACAAATAATCCAGTGAAGAAACGGGCAAAAGACATGAATAGACACTTCTCCAAAGAAGACATCCAAATGGACAACCGACACATGTAAAAATGCTCCACATCACTCATCATCAGGGAAATACAAATCAAAACCACAATGAGATACCACCTTACACCTGTCAGAATGGCTAACATTAACAACTCAGGCAACAACAGATGCTGGCGAGGATGCGGAGAAAGAGGATCTCTCTTGCATTGTTGGTGGGAATGCAAGCTGGTGCAGCCACTCTGGAAAACAGTATGGAGGTTCCTCAAAAAACTAAAAATAGAACTACCCCACGACCCAGCAATTGCACTACTAGGCATTTATCTAAAGGATACTGGTGTGTTGTTTCGAAGGGACACATGCACCCCCATGTTTATAGCAGCACTACCGACAATAGCCAAAGGATGGAAAGACCCCAAATGTCCATTGACAGATGAATGGATAAAGAAGATGTGGTCTATATACACAATGGAGTATTACTTGGCAATCAAAAAGAATGAAATCTTGCCATCTGCAACTACGTGGATAGAACTGGAGGGTATTATGCTAAGTGAAATTAGTCAATCAGAGAAAGACAAAAATCATATGACTTCACTCATATGAGGACTTTAAGGGACAAAACAGATGAACATAAGGGAAGGGAAATAAAAATAATATAAAAACAGGGAGGGGGACAAAACAGAAGAGACTCATAAATATGGAGAACAAACTGAGAGTTACTGGAGGGGTTGTGGGAGGGGGGATGGGCTAAATGGGTAAGGGGCATTAAGGAATCTACTCCTGAAATCATTGTTGCACTATATGCTAACTAATTTGGATATAAATTTTTAAAAATAAAAAATAAAGTTAAATTATAAAAAAACCCAAAACACTAAAGAACTAGGAGAAAAATAGTTAAATGAGATGAACAATTCATAGAACCAACGCTGAGAATTGGCTAATAAAGTATTTTAAATTTAAAACTCACCAGGAACCCAATAAGTTTGAATTAAAATACAATAAAAAATCTTTTTTTCCCTCATCCAAAACAAACAAACAAACAAACAAACAAAAAGTTAAGAGAAGAGGTACAGACAGCTGAGGGGAAGGGCTTCCAGGCTTGATCCTCACACCAGCGCCTCCATCCACACAGCCCAGGACCCGCAGAAGCGCTCAAATGGGGCAAATGAAGGACAGGAGGAAGTTGACCTCATTGCGGACAATAAGCTGCCCTGGGTGGATCCTGTCGGGCAGAGCCAGACTGGAGGTCATTTCCCAGGCGTCCACAAAGGCCACACGGAGGTCAGCAAAGGCGGCTCGGAGAAGCCGGTTCACCTGGAGGGTGAACCAGTCACTGCCATACACAGACTTGTAGCCGGTATTGGCCAGCTTGATGACCACGACAGTGCGGGGCTCGCGGGCCAGCAGCGCAGCCACGGCTGCCCTGATCCCTGCGAGTCGTTGCACAAAGACAGATGGGGAAAGGTGGTGAAGTGGGCGCCCAGGCCCAGCACCACCACTGTGTGGGGGCCCCCGGCCAGGCCCCCCAGTTCCCAGACCACAGAGTGCAGGGAGGCCACTGGTGAGTGCAGGGAGCGCAGGGGCCAGCTGTGGGCCTACCAGTGCAGCACTATGCCCCGAGCGGTCTCCACCACCATCAGGGGCCCCGTCTAATATGTGGTGTGTAGATCCATAGGCTTCAGGGCTGTGGGGAGGACAAGAGGAAGCTTAGAGGCTAATATGGGACTGTACTTCCTCATTTAATTACATAGAAGATCTAGCATCAGTTTCCCCTTAGGACACAAGCATCCTCTGGCCCAGGCACCTGGTTATGTTCTCCCTAATCTGTGATATCGCCAGTAGTTACCAAGCCCCAAAACCTATTCTCAGTCCTCAGCCTCCCTGGCCCCTGGGGCATTTTGTCTCATTGACGTTCCTTTGGATGCTCCTTCCTTTCTTAGCAGAAAGGATTCAACTTGGATTGATCCATTGGCCCCCTCTGGCCACCCCTGAATGGAGACTTGCCCCAGGCTAGAGAGTGAAGGCTGTCCAGTGTGTCTTTGCACAATGGTGGCCAACCGAGGGAGCCAGAGGTTTCTGGAATCAGGTCTGGTCACTCAGCTGTATGCCCTGATAGAGGGCTAGACGCATCTGCAATAAAAGGCCCCTCCTTTGCACGATGTCTCTGCCTGCTTGCCCTACCTTGTGCTTCAGGGCTCTGTGGGCACAGGGGGCGCCTTTTTCTATTTCACAGAAAGGTGCCAAATCAGCTAGCAGAGGATCTGGTTTTCCCAACATTCTGTCATGAACTTCTATTCATCTCTAGATACACCTCTTGCGTAGGAAAGTCACCTACTCCACTGCCACGGGCAGTGACCCTGGGAGGTCACCTCAGATTGCCTAAACACCAAATTAGAACTGGAGCTCTCTTTTTCCCTGAAGGAAGGGGCTGCACCGAGACTAACCCTCCTGGAAGGCAGCGGGCTTTGATACCTCAAGCAGGAGCGTACACAACAGCCCAGACCTCAAGATCTCTAGGTGGGGGGAGCTGGTACTTTTAGAACTTCTGTAAACAAATGGCGGCCCACATCCCTCTGGTGCCGGGAAGCCCAACATGGCTGCTCTCACACTTGTAGGTGACAAGGGAGAGCCTGAGGGGGTTCTCTTCCAGGAGAGCACAGACCCACCCTGCACACTTCTCTTTGGGATCATAGGAGACAGGTAGGGGAGGCAGCTCAGTTCGGACGTTCCTTCTTTCCTTGGCCCTCACGTTGCCCCCGCTCCCTGATAAAGCATATTCCTTAACCCATGTTACATTATATTGTGGAATCTGTGCAACAAAAGTTGGAGGCTCAGATGGTACTCACCCTTCATGATGCTCTCACCTCTTTTAACTTTTATCCTCCAGGGAATAAATAAATATGAAACTCTGTCTGAAGCTTGGACATCTCAATTCACTTCCAGTCCCCTGTGTTCAAATGCCTCACGCACAGACTCCCCAGAAGACCCGCCCACACAACCCGATATGAAGAATATAAAATAAGTACACCATCTTCTACCACTGCTGTCCCTTGCTCCCACACGCAGTCAGGCACCCCAGTGATTTCCGTTTTGAGTCCGTTTTCTGTTATCTGTAGTTACCTGGTCATCTCCCTTCTTTCTAGAAGCAATCAGTCAACAAGCTGTCAGTTCCCCCAGTATAATGCTTCCTTTACTGCTGACCCCAATTTAGTCTCTCACCAGCCTGCATGCTGACCTACCAGTGTCTTATAACTGGTTTTTGTAATGTGCTTTTTCAACCAATCAGTCAAACAAAATGAAAACATTCAGTGTCTTCCCAAAGTCACAAGAGAAACCCCTGATTTCCCTACAGCACTTTTCTTAAATTCCAACTCTATTCCTGCAATATCCCTTGGCAAATCCTCACTTCCAGGTAAGGTTATCTATTCATCGTTCTTCAAACACATCCACCCTACTGTTAGAGCCTCTGATCATCCACCTAATTGTTGGCATTATGCGCAATCTGGGCAACCTGTTCCCCATCCTTGCCTCTGCCCCAAACCCAGTATCTGGTCCTTCCACAGCACTCTCCTGAAATGTTTTCTGCCTTCTCAAAGCCCTGGATCTTCTCTTTTTGCCTTAGGAGCCCTGCCCTCTCCCCTCACGGCCACTCACAGGGCACAGTGTCGCGCAGGTACTCCCACCACTGCCGAAGTGTGGAGTCCCCCATCATGTGGACGACGTGACCAGCCAGGCAGCCCAGGATGCTGTCAACAGTGGAGAAGGAGCGTCCGGAGCAGGACAGTGAGTGCCACACATCTTGGTGGTAGAAGCCAGAGGGCTTTGGGCCTGGGATCCCAGGGTGGCATGGTTGTCGAGGGGCAGAACTGTAAACAATTATTTGTGAGCAGAACAATCCGTGGGTACAGAAGAGTCTAAAGCCACAGGCATGGAACACGTGCTGCCTTTTCTGCAAGCCCCAGAGTCACTTACCCAGACTCTTATTGCTCTCCTTGGCCACCCAGATTGGAGAAATACCCTGAGGGAGGACCTTGTCTGTCACGTTCCTGAAGAGAAACCAATTTGCAAGAGGGAAGCCCTTAATGGAAATGCGTGATGGGAAGGCACCCTGGGCTGAGGTGAGACTGGGGTTCTTGGAGGAAAGGAAGTTCTCAAAATCAAGGGCATCTGTCTAGTGTCAGGGCTCCTGGGAGATACTGAAGGCTTGGGGTCAGGAGAGGGATTGCAAGCTGGAGTTCAGGGATCCAGGTTCTTTGCCTCGGGGATTCCATCAGTGCAGGAAGCAGAGCTGTTTTAAAATGTCCCCAGGCATGAGGTGCCTGGGTGGCCCAGTTGGTTAAGCGTCCGACTTCGGCTTAGGCCATGATCTCATGGTTTGTGAGTTCAAGCCTCACGTCGGGCTCTGTGCTAACAGCTCAGAGCCTGGATCCTGCTTTAGGTTCTGTGTCTCCCTCTCTCTCTGCCCTTCCCCCATTCACTCTGTGCCTCTCAAAAATGAATAAACATTAAAAAAATTTTTTTTATGTACCCAGGCTTTTTGGGGAGGCCAACACATCAGGAGATGATGGCCATGAGAAAGACAGGGGGTTACTCAGAGTCCCTGAGAGGCAGGGGCACAGTGCACCACATGGGGCCACAGGGGGATGCACCAGGGTCAGTTGGGGGCAGAGGGAGTAAGAGCAAACAGAGGGCACAAACCTTCGTAGTGATTTTCACAGGAAGGAATAGGCAAGGAAGAGTAAGCAGCTGAGGAGGCTTGGGATTGGAGCATTTGAATGATTTCAGTGGGCTCTGGGCTATAGAGGCAGATTCTGGTTGTCAGTAACTTGCTCTGGGGTGATTTCAGGCCCAGGACATTGGCCCAGACTGTAGGAGCCTGATAGAGAGAGGCAGGGTGGTGGGGTGCACTAAAATTGGGTGGTATGCTCAAGGCCTCTCTAAGAGCTAGCTAACCCTGGGAGGGGCTGGCCCTCCCTGGGTCCACATGGCCCCAAGGCATCAAAGCATCACAAAAATACAGGGAATTATAAACATGATTTATACAGGAAGGGGCTTGGAGCCTTTTGTAAGAAGTGCTAACTCTCTTCTTGGTCCTATTGGGCCCACTCCTGCTGGATTCTCCCCGATCACGATTAGACCAGCAGTTGTTCCCTGATCCCTGGGACTCGCTCTTCTCCTGGTTGCCAGGACTCCCCTACCAGGGCTCCCCTGGTAGTCCCTTGGGTGAGCTCCCTTCTTCCCATGCTCCAGGCTCAGCCTTCACTCCTCTATCCGGATCACACTCCCTCCCTTGGTGGTCTCACTCGGTCAAGATCTCCAGCCTAGACTTCTCTGCCAGATTCCAGGTTTGTGAGTCTAGCCATGTGCTCAACATCTCCACTTGGTGTCTAACGCATGTGACCAAACTCCTGATCTCTACCCCCACCCTTCCCCCCACCTGCAACTGTCCTTCCAGGGAAGCGGGCCCCAAGCCCCACAGCCACATGTGAGTTCCCGCTTTTTAGCACATTCCGTGTTCTCTCAGGACATTTTATGGGCACTGCCTTCAGGATATACCCAGAAATGAATCACTGTGGACACCTCTACTACTGCAACCTGAAGCAGAGGCCTCCTACCTTTCAGTCTCCCTGATTTTCCCTTAACCTGCAGTCCATTCTCAATGCAACAGTCTGAGACCCTGTAAATGATATGAATCATATCATGTCCATCTTCTGCTCAAAATCCTGCAATGACTCCCTTTACACTTACAGCAAAAAATCAGTGTACTCACAGAGCCTTTCCTGTCATGCTGCATCCTTTGCTTAACACCGCTGGTCTTCACCTGCCCACCTCTCCATCCCTCACCCCATCCCAGCTATTTGGCTTCCTTTGCTGTTCCAGGCACACTATGGCATTTCCTCTGCCTGGAACTCTCTCGTCTCCGGTACATCCTGGGCCAACTCTCTCATTCCCTTTAAGTCTTTGCATGAATGTCAGCTGCTGCTTCTTCTTCTTTTTTTGTAAGTTTATTTATTTTGAGAGAGAAAAAGAGAGCAAGACAGCATGAGAGTGAATGCACACGAGTGGGGGAGGGGCAAGAGGGAAAGGGGGAGAGAGAATTCCAAGCAGGCTCCACACTCAGCATGGAGCTTGGAATGCCAAATTCTTAATGAGGTCTATCCTGACCCCCTATTTAACACCGCAACCTGCCCCATCGGACTTCTAATCCTTACCTCGTGTATGTTTTCAATTTCCCCTAGCACGAATCTCCTTCTAGCGTTCTTTTTTTTTTTTAATTTTTAAAAGTTTATTTATTTATTTTTGGGAGAGAGGGGGAGAGAGAGAGGGAAAGTGAGGGAGGGAAAGACAGGGAGAAGGAGAGAGAGAGAATCCCAAGGAGGCCCTGAGCTGTCAGCATCAGAGCCCGACGCGGGCCTCGAACCCACAAACCTTCAGATCATGACCTGAGCTGAAATCATGAGTCGGACGTCTAACCATCTGAGCCACCCAGGTGCCCCATCTCCTCTAGCATTCTATACTATTTACTTATTGTTATGTTTATTGTTTATCATCCTCTCTCCTGTTGTAAATAAGCTTTACCAAGGCAAGGTCCTTGCTGTATCTTCACTGCTGCATTCCCAGTTCCAGCAGGGCCATGCATGTAGAGTGTGGTCAGCATGCATTTGCTGAATGAAGGAATGGACTTATTGAAGGGGCTGTGTCTGAGGAGGAGAGGGGAACTTGCTTCTGGAAGGGAGAAGGGATGAGAATATTCCTACAAGCTAGAAAAATGCAGGAGTATGGCCTGCCCTGAGACTGTCAGGGCCCTAGTGCCCCCTAGAGGTGACAGCTTTAAGAAGCAGGTAAAGGATGATCTTAAGGACTCTCGACCCAGGTGGAAGACGCCTGCCCTCCCAGCAGAGCCCAAGATTACACAAGCTTGAACAGCGGGCACTTTGGGGAGGACTACGGGAGGATCCCAGATGGCCAAGGCGTCAGTATCTTTGCAGGACCCTCGGTGAAGGGAGCTCTTCCCACCAGCCTGGCTGCAGAGGTCCTCAGATGGGATTAAAGTTGATATACAGAAAACACCTGACCTTGGGGCTGCAAATTCATGTCCGTTATACATTCCTCACATGTGTGGTTATCTGTTTAACACCAAACTTCTATCAATACACTGTTAGCTCCCACAGGATGGGGCCACGTCTGCCCTGCTCTCCCATCCCCAGGACCTCTACGACTTTGGACCATGTCTGACAGAGCAGGGGCCACTCGACAGCAGCAAAACACTTGGGCCAAGATTGTAACAGCCAAGAGAGCTGGGATATGCTGTCCCTGTTCTAAGCACTTTATACACATTAATAAATTTGCTCTTCACCCCAAGTCTATGAGGGAAGTACTATTATTATCCCCCTCTATGAATGAGAGAACAGAGGTTCAGACAGGTTAAGTGACTTGCCAGAGATCACATGGATAGAAGCTGGCAAGTCGAGCAGGTGAAGCCAGGATCAGAACCCACGTACTCTCACTCCAGAGACTTCTGGGATGTACCCCAAGTGACATCCTGATATGGCTCCTGTTTTTACCCTTAGATTTATTTTTTAATGTTTATTTATTTATTTTGAGAGACGGAGCTAGAGCAAGAGAGAGTGCAAGTGGGGGAGGGGCAGAAAGAGAGAATCCCAAGCAGGCTCCACGCTCAGCATGGAGCCTGACATGGGGCTTGATCTCATGACTGCGAGACCCTGACCTGAGCCGAAATCAGAGTCGGATGCCTAACTGACTGAGCCATCCAGGCACCCCATAACCTTAGATGTATTTTTAATCGACCAATGCAAAAAGGATATGTGATTCTCCTTTTCTGACCAAAGGGAGCATAAGAATTGGCCTGGAAAGACCAAGGTTACCTGGTGCTAAATTCTCATGCCAGGAAGGAAATGTTAGTCGGAATTTCCCAGACACGAACTACCGAGAGCCTCCAGAGATGGGTACCTGGTGAGGCCAGCAGGCACCTCAGCACCGCCAGGGCCTCCGGCTCGGCTCACCTCCAGTCCTCATGGCAGCCAGTGAGAACTTCTGTGCTCCTTGGGGTGGTGCAGCAGCAGCCAGCCTGCTCTGTAAACACCTCTGGCTCTTCTCTTCCCCCACTCAGTGGGGGTGTCCCTCCACCCCTACTCTGCCTCCACCCTGCCACCTTCTGGGACCCCATTTTTACCTCTATCCCCTACTCTCCCCGCTGGAGACCAGATGCGCAGGTCTCCCACCTTTAAAAATGCCTCCCTTCTCCCTTGGGTCTCACTAACCCCCACCCTGCCACAGATCTCAGGGACAGTAGGCTGTTTGCCCATCTCCCTTCCATGACTCCCATCTTGTGTCCACCCAGGGAGGCTTGCCCCCACCCCCGCCCTGAGACTGAGGACAGTTCTCAGCCTTTCTCAGCTTCCGGGCTTCAGGCTCTGCTCCCCTCTCACTCGGGGGTCACATCCACCCTCCATACTCTCCGACCACATATGCTGGTAATTTCTACCCTACGTCTCTCCTTACAGGGGCAGTCAGAAGAGCAAAGATGCCTGCAATGCTTCTCTTCTGCCAGAGGTCCATGTTTCTCCTTCAAGCCTTAGCTAAATTGTCACCTGCCCGATCATCACAGGCAGGTGGGTTGCCTTTTCTCCATGTCCCCAAACCACTCAATGTATACTGCGCTTAGGCACTCATCACACTGTGTTTTCCAAAGTCATGGATCTCCATAGGGGCGCCTGGGTGGCTCAGTCAGTTGAGTGTCTGACTCTTGATTTTGGCTCAGGTCATGATCCCAGGGTCGTGGGATTGAGCCCCGTGTCAGAATCGACACTGAGTGTGGAGCCTAAGATTCTCTCTCTCTCCCTCTCTCTCTCTCTCTCTCCCCAAAAAACAAACAAACAAACAAACAAACAAACAAACAAACAAAAATATAAGCAAACAAACAAACCCAAACAAAAGTCAGGAATCTCCTCATTGAAAACTTGTAGAGGGCAGGTATGCTGACCATTACACAGAAGTAGTTAGCACTTAGTATGAGACCTGGCACGCAGTAGGAAACACATCTAATAGAAGGGAATAGATGAATAAGGGTAGTTGTTCAGGCAGAATATCACAGGGACTGGGGTTCAAGGGTTAGGGCAGACATCCCAGATAATGCTGGGTTTCTTACCATGCCAGCAGGGCCTCCTCGTGTGGTGTGGTCATATTCCAGTAATGTCCACTTGAATGCCCTACCAGTGAGTTGCAGGGCAGGGTTGGGGGTCGAGCACAGAACCAGAGCTCACCAGAATCTTCATCCTTGTAGTGACAGGTAGACTCTTCCTCCCCAGTTAGCAGGGGGTTAACATTGCAAGTCACAATTTCTTCATACCCTGTGGGTCCTCGGAAATAGCCCATGAAATCAACTGTGGCCCATTGGTCTCTCCAGATTCCCCGCAGGACCCTAAGTGCCTCGCTGGAGTGGATCAGCTGCACTCGCACCTGGGCCTGCCCAGCCCACAGCAGAGGGAAGGACAACAGGTAGGTGCCATTCTCCAGATCCTGGATATCCCCAGGGACTCCTGCCTTCAGGTGGGGACCCAGCAGCTGTGCCCGAAACAGATCTCCACCACAGGTCTTGGGCCTGCCCTGGTGGTCTCTGGCGACAAGGATGGCCTCTAGGGAGCCTCCCAGGGTGTAGCTGGCCTGGGAATGATCCCTCAGGTGGTAGGTGGAAGTCTGGGGACTGGTGGAGGCCAAAAGGTCCCCCGCATCTCCTGGGGTGGGAGGCCAGTGCAAAAGATGGGTCAGGTCCGAGAGCTCCTTGGGGAGACAGCCAGAGGACTTGCAGGCAGGGCGGGGCTGTGGGGGCAGAGGGACCATGCTGTTAGGCCAGGAAACTCTGATGTACAAGATCTGTGGACAGAGAAAGAAGAAACTGTCAGTGGTTTGTGTCTCTTCACCTTTCTTCTGGGAAGGTATCAGTTCAACAGACGTAGTCCTCCTCTGCCTGGTGGGTCTCAGGCAGGAATCCTACCAGCCCTATGTCATGCCGCTTCTGATCCAAAGCTGGTGTGTGAGCTACCACCACACACACGTGCAGATATCATCTCATGTTTAAAACCCTATGTCTTGGGGAGCTTTGGGTGACTCAGCTGGTTAAGTGTCTGACTTTTGATTTCAACTCAGGTCATGATCTCACCATTCATGGGATTGATCCCCGAGTCAGGCTCTGTACTGACAGCACAGAGTCTGCTTGGGATTCTCTCTCCCTCTCTCTCTGCCCCACCCCCGCTCATGTGCATACACACACACACTCACTCTCTAAATAAATATACTTAAAAAAAAAAAACCCATATGTCTGTGGGTTTTGCTAAATCTCTCGGAGAATAAATACCATCTCTATCTCCCAGTCCCCACTGGCTTCTGCCCCATCACCTGCTCACTTGGGATGCATACACTCTAACTGTCAGCTGAGGGGGGTCCAGGCTTGGACCTGGCCCCGCCCCCGCCCCCCCCCCCCCCGGCCCACTTTCCAGCTCTCCTCACCCATTACACGTCCTTCTCTCTCTGGACTCCAAAACCCAGGATAAATTCTCCTTCCCCTTTGTATTTCCTCTTTCTACAACCCAACCTTTATAATCTCCATCCTGGATTTGAGAAGGAGGGTTTCCTTCACACACAGAGGAATGAGCTAGAGGTCCACCTTGGGGAGTAGTCAATGGAATCAGACTCATGGGGTCGTGGGGTTTCCCTGCATAGGAGGCAAAAAGGAGAGATGTGCAGATAGAAGGGAGCAGTGGGGAGGGAGTGGGCTGTGGCTCCAACTATCTCTAGCCCCCAACCAAAATCCAAGTCTCAGGTAACCACAAGCCTAAATTGGCCTTGCCTCAGGGGGACATCCACATGGCTCAAAATCACAGTACGAATGCTCAGCAATTCCTCCCAGGGAAGGAAGTAAATCCAGTTTGACGGCCCATCAGTATTTGGTAGTCTCTAGCATTTATTTACCCTGCTTCTGATTTGTTCTCTGACTACACTTTAGTGTCAGGGATCTGGACCCCTTCGCTCAGCCTTTCCTCAGCACAGACATTAGGTGACACATACACACTCTGGCCATGTGATATTCCCATGTTTCACCAGGGCCAGGGCACAGGGGATGCCCAAGGCCCCTCCTTATGTATCTCCTGGATAAAATCAACATGAGCAGGAAGAAAGATTTGGGGCCTACATCAGGAAGAAAGGACTGCAGCACACGGGGAGAGAAAGGAGGAGCTATTTCCTTCATGCAGATCACTGGGACCTGCCCCAGAGGCACTTACTTAAGCCGCTGGAATTCCAATTTTTCTGTATAGTATGAGTTGTTGGCATAGTTTGGGACTGAGAACTGGGGAGGCCACAGTCTTATCAGGCACCCATGCAACTGGGGAATGAGACCAGAGTCTGCCAGTGGCTCTGGGAGTGGCTTGACAGTGAGTCCTTTATCTTCAGGGCCTGTTGGAGCCACCACCCTGTCATCAAGCCAATAGTTAATGAGCTGGTCAGCAACTTTGATCAGTCAACAAGAAGGGATGGCCACTTTGTCAGGTTAGTGACAGGATGGAGGCTACTTCTCCTTCTCTTGGTTTCCCTTCCCATATCAGAGGAGAAATAGAGGGCGGAGGAATGAGGGAGATATGTGTGAGCAGAGCATGCCTCCCACAGACTCGTATCAGCCAGAACCTTGGCCGAACCTGGCAAGAGGGGACAGAGGGAGAAAGAATGGAGCAGAGGAGAATTTTGAACTGGATATGAAGGTGAAGTTTAAAATGAATAGAGCTGAGTCTTAGAGACACGAGATCGACTGAATTTCACAACTGAAATTGACTTAAAAGTTATGGAATTAGGGGTGCCTGGGTGGCTCAGTCGGTTAAACGTCCGACTTCAGCTCAGATCATGATCTCACGGTTCATGGATTGGAGCCCCGCATCGGGCTGTGTGCTCACAGCTTGGTGCCTGGAGCCTGCTTCAGATTCTGTCTCCCTCTCTCTCTGCCCCTCCCCCACTCACACTCTGTCTCTCTCAAAAATAAATAAACAATAAAAACAATTTTTTTTTAAGTTATGGAATAAGACAGAGATGTGGTTAAGGGGAAGGATAGCACTGAACAGACACATTGCATAGCAACAACTGGAAGAATTAAAGTTGTTTCAAATTTATATTCCAACGAGGTTCTCCCTAAACTGGTTGTAAACTCTCTAGTAAGCATGGGCCTTTGGTCTCTGCAGGCTGTGATGACCCACATTGCGGTTGATGGCTGTAGTCTTGCCCCTGGATTTTATTTTTTTATTTTTATTTATTTTTTTAGTGTTTATTTTTTGAGAGAGCATGAGCATGGAAGGAGCAGAGAGAGGGGGACAGAAGATTAGAAGCAGGCTCTGCACTGTCAGCTCAGGGCCCGATGTTGGGCTCGAGCTCATGAACTGTGAGATCATGACTTGAGCCAAGGTCGGAGCCTAAACCAACTGAGGCATCCAAGCGCAGCTTGCCCCTGGATTTTAACTGCATGGACTTCAGTAGGCAAAAACTGGGTATCTGCTGTTGACTTTGATCTAAGAATCTGCTCCTAAAAAGGGGGTTAGATTATCAAGGAGAGAGAGCATATAGTTGTGGGTTTTGTTTGTTTGTTTGTTTGTTTTTTAATTTTAAGTAGGCTCCACACACAACGTAGGGCTTGAACTCACGACCTTGAGATTAAGAATCACATGCTCAGGGTGCCTGGGTGGCTCAGTTGGTCAAGCGACCGACTTTGGCTCAGGTCATGATCTTGGAGTTCGTGGGTTCAAGCTCTGCATTGGGCTCTGTGCTGACAGCTCAGAGATTGGAGCTTGCTTCAGGTTCTGTGTCTCCCTCTTTCTGCCCCTTCCCAACTTGTGCTCTCTCTCTCTCTTGCTCTCAAAAATAAATAAACATTAAAAAAACACTTTTTTTTAAAGAATCACATGCTCTACTGACTGAGCTAGCTAGGTGCCCCTAGTTTTGTTTGTTTTGTGTTTTGGAGTATATCATCTTCACCCAAGTCAGGGGGTTCACCTGCCTAGGGGGAATTAGGATTTGTTTAAAAGGATTGCAAAAGGGGGGTCTGGGTGGCTCAGTCAATTAATTGTCCAACTCTTCATTTTGACTCAGGTCATGATCTTACAGTTCATGGGTTTGAGCCCCACATTGGGCTCTGCACTAACAGCTCAGAGGCTGCTTGGGATTCTCTCTCTCTCCCTCTCTCTGTATCTCCCCTGCTCTTTCTCTCTCTCTCAAACTAAATAAATAAACATTAAAAAAAAAAAGGAATGCAAAGAAAAAGATGATACATAAAGGCCATAATGAAGGAGAGGAAAATTGACTAATTTTTTTTTTAATTTTTTTTCAACATTTATTTATTTTTTGGGACAGAGAGAGACAGAGCATGAACGGGGGAGGGGCAGAGAGAGAGGGAGACACAGAATCGGAAACAGGCTCCAGGCTCTGAGCCATCAGCCCAGAGCCTGACGCGGGGCTCGAACTCCCGGACCGCGAGATCGTGACCTGGCTGAAGTCGATGCTTAACCGACTGCGCCACCCAGGCGCCCCAAAATTGACTAATTTTTAAAGCATGTTAAAATATCGGGGCAGCTGGATGGCTCAGTTGGTTGAGCATCCAACTTTGGCCC